AATCAGGTCAATGGGAAACAGTCATGTTAATTGTGTTACATTCCTAATCAGGTTAATGGGAAACAGTCATGTTAATTGTGGTACATTCCTAATCAGGTTAATGGGAAACAGTCATACCAATTGTGTTACTTTCCTAAATCATACTCAAGTCAATGGAAAACAGTCATGTTAATTGTGGTACATTCCTAATCAGGTTAATGGGAAACAGTCATACCAATTCTGTTACTTTCCTAAATCATACTCAAGTCAATGGGAAACAGTCATGTTAATTGTGGTACATTCCTAATCAGGTTAATGGGAAACAGTCATACCAATTGTGTTACTTTCCTAAATCATACTCAAGTCAATGGAAAACAGTCATGCCAATTGTGTTACATTCCTAAAATGTATTCAGCCAACTTGAGCTGTTTGAACCAAAATACAGAAGTTGTTGTGTTTGATATTATCATCTGGACAGAAAGAAGTTTGTACGTGACTGTAGCGGCAAAGATGAAAGAACATATCAACTGTAACAGAAGAGGTGATCAATCTTTCAGAAATACATATTCAGAACGAAAAGCCCAGGTGTAACAGACTTTGACAAGTTTCAAAAGCTAATTGATGGTGAATGCTTTCATCTGAATGGATGGACCAAGTCTTAGTTTCATGACCTGTGTTTCAGGTTTCTATCTTAGAAAAACCTCAACATGATATCAATAGCAGATGAGACTTGAAGCATTAAGATATGGGTAAGAACAATATGATACCAATAGAATTGAAGAAGTAATGCCATTTGATTTTCACTTCATGTTTAAAAGCCACACTGATTCTCATGAAATTACCAATTTTTTTTATTCTTTATTGTGAAATATATACACTTATACTGACTGTATAACTATTTCTTTAACAGTTAGATCACCAACTATATTAGCCTAACACGTAAAACTGAGTATTACAAACTGACCAATCATATAATGCTACTTTGAATTATTTTCTGCTTTAAAAAGGCATCTTTAAACTTCGTTATATTAGTTGATAAGAAACAGTTATATCCAGTAGTTACAACTCTGATGAAGCTGTAATAACGCAGCACTGGTAACTGATTTTTTCCTAAACAAAGAAAGCAAACATTTTAATAAAGATACTTACAAAATTCTCCATTTTTTCTTTTTCCAGTTCATCATAACCTGTAAAATTATAAATAGTCTTTTGGGCTTTTTTCTGAAAGTAACCAGGAAGAAAATGTTTCAGAGGGAATGGCAAGACTTTTGTGTACCAGGGTCTAGTCAGTTCTGTGTAATTTCTACTGTCTACCCAAAGAACGTAGAGCTGGAAGAAAGAAATCCACTCTTGATATAACCCTGAATAGGCTTATTAATGTATACAAGTAAAACAAAACATAAGACATAGAACGAACACAAACTTAAATTTCATAGTTATATGTACTTGTTTCTGATCTCTTTCAGAGAGAGAATATACCAAAAACATAAAATGGATAAAACAAGTGACCATCGTAGAGCAAATCAAGTGAAGAAGGGAAAAGGAATAACCCTAAATTAAAATCTTAAGAACTGTAGCTAAAAATTTTCCTTTTTAGGAGACTAAATGAAAAGTTTAATATTAAAATGTCTGTAAAATGATGACACAGAAAAAAATTTAGACCCCACAAATTATGATTGTTAAAATGAATACCAAACTTGGGTTTCTTGTAATTACTTTTGGTAATGTTCTCTTTAATTTAAAATGTCCTAGAACAGTACTCAATTAAAACATTTAAAATGTTTCAACAACAAATTAACTGTCAGACTTCAATAGAAAGATCAAAATGTGTTCAACTCCAAATTACAGCTTATAAAATAAAAATACAAAAAACTTAGAATCTTAAGCTGCCATGTGAAAAATGGAAAAATTCAACTTTTTTTGTTAAGTTTGTTTTTCAATGAATTATCTCCCATAAGACATTCTGAAATTTGAAGTTGTTAATAAGAAGTCATCAATGAGTACAACAGTCATGCCAGACGGAAGAGTTGTGGTCTTCAATTTAGACTGGGCCTTAAAGTTTGAAACACAAATAGTCTCCTTAAATTTACTCTAATAAATATAAAAGAAATACAGGTTATTGTATTTAGAAGAACACTTCAGGCAAGAAACATTATCAGTCTCACCAATAAAAGTTTTTTCAATTGTGATATAATAAAAATTATTAAATAAACAAAATCAGTGCCAAATTAACCATCTATTTTTAGAAGATGTGGCTCTTATCTGCCATTATGATAAATTTAAACACATTTTTGTCAAACCAATAATAACATTGTAGGTTTAGTACAATTTTTCAATTGAATCATATCATGTACTTTGTTTTTGCATCTGTTTTTCAAATTACAATATACAAACAATTTTCTGCAAGATTAGTCCATCGTATTCAGCATAACTGATACCTTAGAATATCATATGCATCTAAATTTTCATGCTTACAATGATTAAAACAAAACATGTTCATTCACTTATGCTGTGTCTATAATTTTTTGTTATACCACTATGGGATATCAGGGCTCCGAAGTCAAGCAGAAAAACACATTCGCTCTGGAGTGATTACAAAAAAGTATTCACTCCAGGACCACTCCGCTCCTTTTCACTCCGGGAGTGCTCTGAAGCACAAAGGAACACACTGAAGCCCTGGTGGATATAACACTAATGGATTTCTGTGGCATTTTGAATTTTTTTACTTTTAACAATTGTATTCAAATGTTAAAAACATTTTCTTATGGATGCAGGACCCCCATAAGCATGAGGCTCATAGCATTTACTACTTATGCTAATAGGCTAATCCAGCAGTGAAACAACTGTTTAGTAAAAACAAAATTGATAATGCTTCTCGACATTGTTGATGTACAGAAATATATTCCAAACATAAATTTAAAATGATGACAAAAGAAAAAAAGTGAAGAAGCATGTGAAAAAACATGATTTAGTAACGAGTGATTCTTAAACACATTGTTTCATTCGTAAAATAGGACTTAATTCATTAAAATAACAGCACCTGCATTCAAGAATTACCTGTAATATATAATCTAGCTGTAACTCCCCCATACACACACACACAAACAAAAGTTTAATACAAAAAAACTTACTATAGCTGGATACAACTTATCTCTTAGTAACGATGAGTAAGCCACAATATCTGAACATTGTTTCTTGGTTAAATCGAAGTCTGCATTGTAGTTCTGAAAATAAATTATAGAAGATTTGTTCATCAAAAACCAGTAAATTCTGCACAGATGAGCATCTTCCTTCATTAACTTTAACCTAAAAAAATCTGACAACCTTCCAGTGGTAGTTTTAACAGAAGAGAATATTTATTGCATTCAAAAGAAGTTACTAGATATAATTTTTTTGTTGTTGGTAATGTTCAAAAGCTTGTGTTTTGATCATAAAATGTTCATTTTCACCAGTTTTGTACAACTTCCAATGTTTTGTAAACTGTAGAAACACATTCTCCAATTAATTAAGATCTTTAACATGCAAGACATTCATTAATTGTTAATAGTAGTTAGGCTGTATCCTGCCACTTGCATTAGAATTTAAATTGACCTATAGTCTTTTTTTTTACTATGGTCCCTTTCGATGAAGTAAACTATTTAAAGATAGTGCCTAAGAAAGAAAAAAAAAAACACAAGATATACTGGTAATAAAAATACAGAAAATATTTAAGGATAGTGACACCATAGAGGGTTAAATAATTAAAAAAATTAAAGCACTGATGATATATATATGTGTGTGTGTGTGTACTCATGTCATCAGAAAGGCATGAAAAAGAGTTGATATAAAATGATAAAAAACCCTATGACCCGAGCACTTTCGACAGATGGACTTTTCTTCTTCAGGGCCAAACTGGGAATGGTGGTGTAATCGATTGAGTGATATCGTTAAGATCATCTGGTCTTCCAAGAAATGTTCAGTATATTTTTCATGTAAGTGTATCTCATTTCTGGTACAATGTGGCTGGCAAAAGAGCATGATGTAAAAAAGGTGTTAGGGATATTTTGCTTTAGAAATGGTTATAAAAAATAAATAAATAAAACTATACTTAAGTGTTTAAGTAAATAAAGGTGACACCTGGAGACTGATTGAAAAGGAGATGTTAAGCTAATTAATTTATAAAAACAGGTATGGAAAATTATCTTAAATAAATAGTAAGTTTCAGAAAAATTAGGGTTCACATTACATGAAAGAAATAAGCAAAGAATAAAGATTATTCTTTTGACAGAGATGAAACCAACGATTGAAGATTACTGGTTCCAGGATCTAGATTGGTTCCAAAAGGTTGAACAGTGTTTAGATTAATGATCCAATATGCTTCTTTTATCTCCCTATCAGCTTTAGTTTTGAATTCTGTTTCAATGCCGATGAGAGTAACATCCTTAATGGAATGACCGGGTTGGTTAAAGTGTTGAGGAATAGGGAGATCTTTTTTGGTGTTAATAGAAGATTTATGGTTATTGAAACATTCTCTTAGAGTTGTTTGTGTATGTCCTATATATTGGGGATTACATTTTTACACTGCATAAGGTAAATGGTGTTTTGTGTTCCACAAATAATTTCCTTGAAAATATTTTATAGTTTCTTTGGTTGTGTTTGTCAGAAAATGAGTCAGTGGTTTTTATGAACTTTCAGGTTTGACAACGAGCTTTATTACATGGACGACAACCATTTTTTGGTGGGATGCAATTCATTTTTGTGTCAACAAGGATATCTTTTAGAGTTCTACTTTTTCGGAAGGAGACAACGGGAACTTCAGGAAATATCTGTTTAAGGAGAACATTAAGTTGTAGGAGCTGAAAATGATTTTTAATAATTCGTGAAATGTTTCTGATTTTATAGTGACAGGTAATAATAAGAGGAATTCTATTTGAAACTTTAGTATTGTTCCGTTTTAGGATGTTTTTCTGCTGAGTGTTGTTAGTCTTTTCAATTTCAGTATCTTTATATCTTCTTTGTAACATGGATCTAAAACAAACCAAAAACTATTTGTATAAATTAATTAGCTTAACATCTCTTTTTCTAGGTGTTGCCTTTATTTTACTTAAACACTTAAGTATAGTTTTATTTATTTCTATTCTTTAACCATTTCTAAAGCAAATTATCCCTAATGCCTTTTTACATAACACGCTCGTCACCAGCCACATTGTACCGGATATGAGACACACAACAGTACATGAAAAATATACTAAGCATTTTTGAAAGAACAAATGACTTTCATGATGTCACTGAACTCCTTTTCTATATCACTGATTTGATTACACCGCCATTCCCAGTTTGCCCCTGAAGAAGAGAGGTCCACCTTTCAAAAGCACTTGAGTTATAGGGTTTTTATCATTTTATACGTATAGATATATATATATATATACACAGCAGTCAGCACTGTTATATGTATATATAAATATTTCATATTTAAACTCCAATGTCAAAAACCTTCAAATTCATAATGACTTTCTTATTTCAATTAAAAGCTGTTTTTAGCTTGTTAAAATATTTAATTTTACCTGGCCCCTGAGGTATGCAGTTATATCCCCAAATCTACTGAAGCTTATCTTGGGACCATGTCTGAACATAGGTAACTGACCTACAAGAGAAGAAAACTTTCATTTTAGACTATTATAAACCAACACTATCTTTAAATACAGCACATGATACAATCCAAAAATAATACAACAGTTAGTAATATAACGATATAAGAAAAGCAGTACTTTAAAATGCTTGTTACTTTACAGTTTTTCCAGTGAATGCATTCCAACATAAAGCAAGTTTTCATAGTTTAACAATGACAAGCTCACTCGTATATAAAAATTTGTCTGTTTGTATAAAGCTACAGTTGGGCTACCTGCCCTAGCCATTCCAAATTTTGAATTATTATGATTAGAAAAGGTAGCTAGTAAGCAACACCTGATGCCAACTTTTGGGCTACTCCAATTGAATAGTGAGATATGACAATCACTCTTACAGTACATCCATGGCCCAAAGTGCAGAGTTTAATTTTGCAATAAAAGGAATTGATTCACAGTCCAAGCTTAGCCCAAAATATTTATCGTTTCATATAGGCTTTCTGTGTTACCTAACATTAAACTGTACTGTGATATATAACTGAGTGTCTACGTGGACTACAAGTGGTAGTAAACCAATGAACATTAAAAATTACATTTACTAAGTTCCAAAAAAGTATCATATAACAATCTGTGACCAACTAAAATGCATTGAACAACAGTGAATGGCTGATCATAACAACATTACAATAGTTTCATCAAACCTACTACTGTCTCCATTCAAGCAATTTTTTTCAGAAAGGTATGAAAAGATATCCTGTTTTTTATTTTGTTTTCCATACCTACTTATTCTGTCCTGAACATTATCCAACTGTACACCATTCTAAGTTCAAACCTAAAATACTGTTATTAAACTAAAATACAGGGTAATCCAATAAGTGATACCCAACTGATTTCTAAGTGGAAGAATATAACACACTAACAACACAAAAGTACATCATGAAATAGAACACTTGGCTTGCAACAACACCAATTAGAGAAACAAGCTTTTAACAGTTTCAGTTTTAAGCTTCTGTTTTACTGTATCATCTTCTTCCCATACAAAATGAGTGGAGTATCTCGTGTTGGATTACTATGTATATCTACTTGACTAACAAAATTTCTGACTTACATACCATTTGGGGAATGCCAAGGCTTGTTGGTTTTGTTCAGCTTCAGTGGAGCTCCTGAAAATTTTGCATAAGCCTTCCAAAATAATGAAAGTCCAAGTTAAAGAAATGACACTGACAATATTAACAGAAAGAATTCAATAAAAATGCTAACTCAGCTTTTTTTAGAGATCACTGTCAAGCAATGGATGAAGTATTTTTGAGTTGTGACAGAGAAGTAACTAATTAATATTTTTAAAAGTATAAGACCGGAGAAGATATGTATTATTTTGATTTCTTTGTTTAGAATTTTGCACAAAGCTACACGTAAACTGCACATAGCCATTAATAATTTTGAACTGATACACAAGAGGGAAAACAGCAAATCACCAGCAGCCACCACCAACTCTTGCACTACTCTAGACTGGCTGAATGGTGATTTGACAATTACGTTTAGAGAGCAAATAGGGTTAGGACTGAATTTAATCTGACAACGAGATATGGATTCACAATCTGAAAGTTAACCACGAGATATGGATTCACAATCTGAGAAGTTAACCACGAGATATGGATTCACAATCTGAGAAGTTAACCACGAGATATGGATTCACAATCTGAGAAGTTAACCACGAGATATGGATTCACAATCTGAGAAGTTAACCACTAAGCCACATCTCTAATGGTATTATTTAAAGTTTAGAATAGTTATTTTAGTGTATTTCAGTTTGATTATTTAGGATTGAACATAAGTTTAAGATTTGGAACTGAAAGGTCAGATTCCAGTTAAAAAGTTTTATTTTTTTAATGAGGTGATTAGTTTATAGAGTGAACTTCTATCAACAGAAGTGGAGGGTGGTACAAGTTTTTATTTTCTTAGAGGGGGGGGGGGAGGATGACTGATAATTTCCTTAAAAATAAGTGGGTTTAACTTTTATCTTCTTTTTTTCCTTACAGATGAGTGTATATGGACAGCCTTAAATGAACTAAATGGACCTTGTTGGTCATATTTTATGTTAAAATATTGTCAGAAAAGCAAAGAAACGTGAAAATACTACTGTTAATTTCATACTTCCATAACTACTATAGAATATATTTGAACTACATAATATTCAGGTAACTGTTCCTATATTTCCATGCAGGTGTTCTGCACATAGTTAATGGCTTGTAAACTGAATGCTGAAAAGTCTTAGACATGTGCTAATTATTTTCCTTACATAATAGTTATATGTGGCAGCAGCTATCTCGTGGAATCTTGTACCAGTTTGACCCCGTGTCTGTGTTCACACCTTGGAAAAGTCCATATCAAGTTACTTTCAAAAGATGGTATGAATTAAAGTTTTCTCCCTTAAATATGTTATTTGTATACACATACAAGTTGGTATGAATTAGGGATTTTATACTGTAAGTATGTCATTTGGAATAGTTTTTAATGTAGGTAAGCTAAGGATTGTAGGCTACCACACAAGAACCCCTTTGTCTAACTTGAAAGTGAAGTATTTCATTAATTTTCCTGTCCTTGTCTCATGTGGAAAGCCAACAAAATGATACAAGTCACTTGGCCAGATTGATGCAACAGTATGTATAGTATATAAAGTACTCATGATCAGCCAAATTTCAGTACTCTTATATGATCACTGAATCTTTTCACTGGCTACCACTTGTGCACTGTATGACCGTGTAGACATATACAATGCACAACTACTGACTACAAGTTAGTACTCACAGTAAACTTAAGCATTACTATTTCCAGTATGTGGAAACAGATAAGGTTTTATTTTTTTCAACCTACAAGCTTTAAATACCTATTTATTTATCTATATGGAATAATAAGCCAGCTTGTATAAACACAATAAAATTGCATAAATGATAACACAATTCTATTAAAGTACATTTTAAAACATCTGCTTCATAAAATCCTCATACTTTCTACTTAGTCATAGTGCACACATTAAAATAACTTAGGTAACAAATTTATGAAATGATTAATCTTTATTCATGTTAAATGATGTATTTGGTAAATTAACAGGAGTTTTGTGGGTACTAAATCAACATCCAACATGTAAAATATATCTTCTGAATTACAGGTACTAACTTCAATTGAAGATTAACAGCATTTGTAGAAAATAAAATAAATTTTTGATAACCAGATTTTTTGATTCAGCATAATCAAATTCACAAATTAAGTTAGACTTTTACCCCACAATTCCCCACCCCTTTTTCTAGCCCCCCTTCTCTGATTTCTGTATTTGGCAAGATGGCTTGTATCATTGTCATAAACACACATGCACACAGACTGTTGGGAAGCTATTAACCATCAATGACATTGTGTGGAAAAAGAAATCCCTGAAATTATTGATGGGATTTGAAAATGAAATGCAGTTGCAGAGTTATTGTACATCCCATGTAAATGAAAGAAAAACTGGAGAAATACCATCAGTACTCCCAACCTCACTGACTGATCTATACTTAGCCATCACTAGAGCTATGAAATTAAGCATTTTAAAACAAAAATCATTTCTTGATGCATTCCTAGCTGATTAAACCATATTTAACAGGTCCAAATGCAAAAGCCCAGGACTAGTAGTAGGAGAAGTTAGACAGCAAACTAACTTTTCTCAAATTATAGTAGTAGTAGTAGTAGTAGTAGTACTAGTATAATAACATATAATAAAAGAATACTTGAGTCTTGAGCCCTCCATATTTTAAGTTTACCTATGTTCCATTCCAATTTAATCATATCCGTATAACAATTTAGTGTATCGATTTTTATTTATTATGCACACAATCTACGATATTATTGAAATAAAGACGAAATAACTTAAGAAAAGAAGTGAGGTACAGCCGCACACCACTTTACCAGACTACTAGCTACTAAAAGTCTGAAACTAAAGGTAAAAAACTACCAACTTCTTAAGTTAAGTTCAACTTCAACAGTTCAAGTAAATTATTTTAATATTTGATTTTGAGCTGTAAGTGTAGTTTGTAAATTAAATCTACGATAATTATCTATGCTATGCAAAAAATAAATCAATAATGAAACCGAAATATTTTTAATCGCATTAACTTTATCACTTACCATGATCTGCAAAGAAAACAAATCAACTGACGGTAAGCCCCAGTCGCCATCCCAAGTTTCTAAACTCATGTCCATGTTTCCAATAAAAGTAAAATACTAATGTAAACCTTCGATTTCATCCATGCCTCGAATTTGGTTCGACACAACTGCCATCTATCAAGTGGCTAAACTTATTCAAATAATGCGATCTTTCACAGCCAAACTCAAAATCATAATACTAATTTGATTTAATTCATTTGATTTGAAACTGAAAATTTCATATGCAATGCAATCGGAAGTGTTAAAAAATAATTTTTCTTCACCCCGCTCGTGAAAAAGATGGTTAATTGTCGCTTCGCCAAAAAAAAACAAAACAAAAAAATCAAAGCAGCCAAAGGTAACATTTAATCACACGATTTTTTACTGGGGCGAATGTTGTGTAAAAAAAAAACTAATATCCAAAAATGGTTATGTTTTTTTTTGTTTTTGTTTAGAAGTTATAAAATTTGTTTACACCAATATAATAACTCATAGAAATAACGTAATGAAATACGAATGTTTATTTGTGCGTAAAGCTACTCAATAGGCTATCAGTGTTGTTCTCATCACGTGTATCTGCGCACTATCCACCGCAGGAATCTAACCCCGGACTTTAGCAATGTAATTCTGTAAACTTACCATTGAATCACTGGAGGATCCTCATTCAGGCAGTTTTTCAAAATATTCATGTAGATATTCTGTATGTAATTTATGAAAAAAGTTACATTCTGTGGTAATGTAGCAGTCAAAAATACTAGGTGTTTCTTCCCCCTTTCCTTTCTACTGTTACGACAGCGGAAGTCACGCGACGCTGAGTGTATGCGCGCTGGAGTTTCTCGAAGGATCATGAATTTTCCTGGCAACTCTAGTTGGTTCGAGGCGCCCTCCTTTTTAGTATATAAGCCTGGCGAGAAAACCCAGCGCGATTGAAGAGATTAAAGATAGAATTGCATAGATAGATAGATATAGAGATAGATAATTGAGCCAAGCGAACAGTAGGCACCGTAAGTAAAGCGAATTATAGCGTGTGTTTATAAAAGTAGTTAAGTTAAAGTGACTGTGGAAATTCTGTGTATTACAAAGTTGTATCGAGAAAGAATAAACTAGTTTTATTTAAGAAAAGACTTGTATCGCTGAAGTTCCTCGGAAAGAATTTATACCGGAAATTAACAAACGAACAGAGACGTAACACTACTTTAGACAAGTGAATAGCTGGCACCTGTATACTCAGTTACAAGTGTGCAGTGGCATATTGTGTTGTCATTATGAATCACTGAGACACTGTAGCCAATATGTGAAGCAACTTGTAGTCCCTAAAGCTCTAAAGCAAGAGATATTTCAGATTTTGCATAATGCAAAGGTAAGTGAACAAATAAACAAAATCTTTATTCATTAAATATTGTTGTGGATTTACCAAGCTGGCTGGCTTTCTATCTGTTTGTATTCAGATTGGTTGCTTGAGCAGGAGAGACTTTCGAAATGTATGCATGGAAATTGGCTTTGGAAGTGGTCACGTGCTATTCTCAGCTGAAACTGATTTCCACATAAGTATTAGATAGGTCCACTTTATAATGGAAGGCCCAATAGGAATAATCACAGAGTAAATCTGAATTTGATTAAACGATAAATTTTTAAGTTTAGAAAATAAACAAATTTGATACGTGATGTAAAGCGAAAATCAATCTTAATTTATATATTCAGACACAAAAAACAGTGTGTATACTTATGTAAGACACTGGACTGTTGCCTTCTGCTGGACTTGTGGGTCAATCAACACCTTTCGTTGCTCAGAATATTTTTCCACCACCTGCAGGTATAACTGTGTCAATCCAACCCTTCTTACTTAAAAATAAATGTCGGATTTACCGAAAATGACTAGCGCTACCCATGTACTGGGCATTCTCATATAACATAGTTAAGGCTGTAAACTCTAAATATTATCTATTCGACCAGTGAAGGGCATAGCTGTCATCGACATGCTTGCACAAAGTGCAAAGTTGCAGTGATATTCCCATGAGCAAAGCAAGTATTATGTACTTGAGAGCAAAAAACTAACAAAACATAATACCCTAAAAACTTTAACAATGAAAAATTCTACAATCCAAAGACACTCTTTAACACAAAATATACAGAAATAAATCTTTAATGAAAAATGCAAGATACACACACACAAAGAAATACATTAACATAAAACTTTTAGAAAAAGAAAGTATGAAAGATTATATAGTAATCATTAAACAAAAAAGGGCCTAGAAAAAATTAAAACCTTAAACAAAGATCACCTGCTTCCTTTGAAGAAACCAGTCTAACAGACTGTTTTTTACTAATTATTTACAAACCATAAAAGAATTACCCTTTAACAAAGAAAAATATATTATTAAGATGATTTTTTAAAATACTGATGTGAAAAGGAACATAAAACATTATAAGATACACCTTTAAATTAACATAAAAAAAGCTTCGGAAAAGAAAGCATTTAATTTTTTTAAAACATACTGAGTACAATAACCCTTGTCTTAAAACACATTTAACCCATATCTTTAATGGAAGGTAAATAAACAAATACAAAAGTAATGAATATAAAAGAAAATCCAAAGTGAAAGAGTATTGATAACTTAAATTAATCCCCTTATAACTAAAAAAAATAAGTAAATAAACAATTTAATTTACAATAAAATAATAGATATAAAATATACGCTCACGCAGCACCTATCTAGGTTTTGTTTCCCTTCATTATAACACAAGTTGAGGTTTTTAAGCACTCACTGGCTTTGCCAATAGTTCTCTTTAAGAGAACTAGAATTTGGGAAACCACAAAATAAAATAAAAAACTGAGGAGAGGTTTTTTCTTGGAAGCCTGTTTTCTCCATCGATGGGGAAGCATCAAATCCTGCTAGTCCACTAAGCTGTAGAGAATTGTTAACATCATTAACTGGAAGACAGCAAAGTCAGGAGTTTCCAATGATGATACCAACTCTGGTATTGGCTCATTCTACATTTGAACAATTTATGGCCCTGAAACATCATTCTCAGGCGTAATGGATGGCTTGGACTGAGACGTGGGTGATGTGCCAATGAGAAGAGAACAGAAGGAGAGGCTAGACCGCTAGAGCCAAGGTGACTCCTTCAAGGTAGCACGAGAACTTTGCCAGCTCTGGGTAAAGTGACTCCTAGGAAAAGAAGAATTAAAAAGACCACCTCCGTCCACTGCCGCTCTGTTTCTGCCTTGAAAAGTCCGTTTTCGGGCATATAAGACTCTGTTTGAGTGCAATTACGTATATTTCGTTCCTTTTAATTATTTTTTGTTGTTGTGCCACTTTTTATGTTGATGGTAATGTTACGACAGCGGAAGTCACGTGACTCTAGTAACACGTCATGATATTCTCGAAAGATCTTGACTTTTCCTGGCAACTCTAGTTTTTTCTAGGCACCCTATATTTTAGTATATAAGCCCGGCAAATAAAGCGGAGAGATAGTGGCAGATAGACAGATAATTGAGTCAAATGAGCGGTAGTGACCGTAAGTAAAGTGTGTGAATCGTTGTGAATTATAGCGTGCGGTTAAGTTAAAGTGACCATGGAAATTCTGTGTATTGCAAAGTTGTAGTGAGAAAAAATAAACTAGTTTTATTTAAGAGAGGACTTGTATCGCTGAAGTTCCTCGGGAAGAATTTATACCGGAAATTAACAAATGACCAGAGACGTAACTGTAACTTTCTTTGATTTTATGTAATTTTTTATTACATTAAGGTTCGTGCATGATTAAGGGCTCAAAATTTTCTTATTTTTATTATATTCTTGTAGTATTTATTTTCTTTTATAATAACTAATTTACTCAAAAGATGCTAATTTTACTATATGAATTCAAATATATCTTTTTTTTTTTATTTCCAGTTACAAAGGGTTACTTTTGTTTCTGTATTGTAGCTGCAGTCTGTATGCATGTATATAATGTTTATTTTATTGTGTATGAAGTATCGAGAGGGCTTTTCTTTTTTTTTTTTGAATATGTATGTGTTAGATGAATTTCTTTCTCTTGTTTTATTAAATTGAAGGTATCATTTTTTATATAAATGTATCGTAATTAAAAGGTCTTTGCAATGTTTTCAACGTATTATGTTTCAAGTTTAAACAGCCTTCTTTAATAGTGTATCGGCTAAGAATAGATGAGAGCTCTAGTTATTTTAATTAATTTCAATACGTTTTAATTTGATTATGTGAAATGCTTGCCTTTTTTTTCTTTTCTAATCATGATATGTTATATATATATATATATACGTAATTAATGCTTATAATGTAGGGTGTTGTTTTGAATTTTTTCTTTCTTTTGCTCATTTTACATTTCTTTTTTTTAGCTCTTGTCTTTTGTAATATGATTAAAGGGTTATTTTAAATTTAATGTATCATTTTCTTTGATTTTATCATTATTAAAGGATCTGCTCTTCGAATCATATAAATTAGTTCAGATTAGAGATAAGCCTTCAGCTATCTAAATACGACTTTTCGTAGTATATATATATATATATTGCAAAATTTTACGGCTAAAAGGAGGGCTTGAGCCCCCACTACCACCACCAAGTTCCGCCCCTTCGTTGCGTGTATGAGTCCAGAACTGAGTCTTTTTCCCAAACGAATGGTTTCGTTTCTCACCTCTATCTTTAGAAAGTGGGGAAAAAAAGAAGAAAGAAAACGGCAACTGACGTCAGTCCCAACTAGGCTCTTAACAGTTGTAGTCTATTTAGTCTTACTAGAATATGGTGCCAATAAAAGTGATTTGGCAACAAGCTTTAGTTCCTCCTACTTATCTTGACGCGCCTGTGAATTAGTGCCTGTGTTGTTCTAGCTTGAAAGTTACTGAAAAATTATTAGTTATTACAGTAAGAGTATTTCGTGTTTTTTAGAATGTTTATATTGAAATGTCTCAACATAAGAAACTCGCATTTTCTAAAAGGAATAGTATTTCGAAAAATAAGAAGCCACGAGATGTAAAGTAACAAAAGGCGAGGTTTAGCAACTAGATTTATATATAATATCCAAATATCTATGTTTTGAAGTAGGCTACCAGCCAGATGTGATAAATATCTGAATTGTGAATTAAAGCGGCATAGTAAGTAGTAATAATTGGTAATATATGGTTTATTCACAGGGTTGTCGACAAGACTTTTAATAAGGCTAGAGAA